GGAGACGTAACAGTTTAGACGGCTTTCCTTCCTAACGAGCCGGCCTCTGGAGGACGTGTTTGTTACCCTTTCCCTCATCGTCAGTGAACACAAACAGACCACTTCCTGCCCGTCCTCAGCAGAACCATCTGGACCTGAAGCTGCTGCTGGGTTCTGACCTCCAGCTGAACTTCAGGTCGGGCTCGTGTAAAAATGGATGAAAGCTCTAAAGTGTGATTGACAGCTGGGCGATGATTACAGGAAGTGGCGGCTGAGGCTGGCACACCTGCACAGGTACCGTCCAGTTACCTGTGCAGGTAGCTAGTTGCTGGTGTTCCATCCTGGTGAGGTAGTGATCACATGACTCAGCAGTGAGCTCTGAGGAAGAATGACACCAACAATGTTCTGATGAAACCTTTAATCTGTTCCAGCGTGTGTCTGATCGAACATCCTCGTCCACCTGGAAGCACTCCACAGGTGTTACAATCAACCACAAGCTCGGAGGGGGCGGGGCCTGTGGAGGGGTGGGTTGAGTCCGCTGGTACTTCCTGGTTTCTGGTGTCCAGGTTCAGGACAGGTTCAGTTTCAGGCACATGGAGGTAGAGGTTTTGCAGGACTGGGGTTCCAGGTGCAGCAGGGCTCTGATTGGTTAGGGGCTGGAGGGGGAGGAGCCAGCCACCTGGAGGAGCAGAAAAGACCAGGATGAAACAAACCTAAACAGAAACGTCGCTAACATGTTGAAGCTTGTTGAAGCTGACCGCTCGTCCTCGTCCAGAGAAGACGGTCTTCAGTCCGTCTCTGGCAGGAACGTGTCGAAGGGGGCGTGTCCTGCTGCTCTTCAGCTCTGACAGGAGTTCAGGACTGGACAGCGACAGAGCTGAGCACACGTCAAGCATCCAATCAGACTCATCAACACGAAAGCCCGAGGTAACCATGGTAACCACCAGGGACTCATCAGGGTCTCCTGGGCAACCACCCACCTGCCTCACCCTCCAGCAGGACCATGACACTAACTCACCATAGGAGCTGTCAGCCGGTAGCAGGGAGGGGCTCTTCAGGGGGGGGGAGGGGCTGAGGGGGGGGGAGGTGACACTGGTATCGCTGTTGGACTCCAGTCGCTTCCGTCGTTCTGGAAGGGAATAAAGAAGATAAACCAGATGCAGGTTCTGGTTCTGAGGGTCCAGCTGACTGTCTCACCTTTCAGGAATTCCTCCTGCAGCCGCGGACTCTGGAGGGAGAGGTGAGGAGCACCTGTAGCTGGTTCTGATGAAGACGTCATGGTGGAGTCTGGAGGAGGTTCTGTCACCGACCAGACACAGAAACAACATCAGCCATCACCCTGAAGCCCCGCCCACTTCCTGGTTAGGGTTAGTAACTGTCAGGTATCAAATCTGGAGGTGGAATTTGCATCTGTCCTACAAGTGGTTTTAGTCTGAGGTCCTCTGAGTCAGGCTCCTCCTCAAGCTACAGCTTCCAGGCGGACCATGTGGAGGTGGTCATGGACCTGCAGCACATGAAGGGTGTTCCATCTGTGTCTCTGGGAGGCACGCGAGGCTTCCCCCTCATCACAGGTCTTCACGAGTAGAACGCGTGAGCGACATTCACCGTTCTGAGAGCGCCTGGATCAGATGCCTGTCCCACTGAGGAGCTGCTCAGCTGAACATCTGCTTCCTATCAGTGCCTCCTGCAGCCTACCCTTGGTCCTCTTCCTCATCTTACGCCAGGTCAAGCTGACGACTTGACTCCAGAATCGAGTTACACCTGTGGCTGTCTACGGTCTGCTGGGATGCTCCAGCGGTACCACTGGGGCTGTCAGAGGCCTTGTGTGTGTGTGTGTGTGTGTGTGTGTGTGTGTGCATGTGTGTGCGTGCGTGTGTGTGTGTGTGTGTGTGTGCGTGTGTGTGTGTGTGCATTAAGCGTGGACTAGTAGACATGTGATGGTTTACGTATTTAAATGATGATCAGGCTGCTGTAAAATGTAATCTCCATCCACATCCAGACACAATTATCCTCTATTCTTTCTCTAGTTGCTCTGCTCTTGACTGGGCTGATGTAGCTGACGGTGCGCGCGGCGCGCCTAACTAGCGGCTGATGCACATTTTTCGTATTTGGAGAGGTGGGCTGGATGCTTTGCTTTCACTGGAAGATGGTCCACTTAACGCACGGGTGTAGACTACATATTAATGACAAATGAATGAAAATTAAATTGTGAGTTTTTACTTCATATTTTAGATATAAAAATGACGGGGGAAACATTTATGACGTCTTTTTAAACGACATTTTCTAGCGCGACCTGCCTGCTTCACTGAAGTCACTGCTTATTAAGGTCCGTCCAAAATTACCGTGGCCCACCCTAAAATGGAAACCTGGTGCCGTGCCTGTTATAAACCTCTGCAAATTGTTGTTCTTCACTTTATCAAACTCAGACTTTGTACAGCTAATGTCAAGATGTAAAATTATTCAGTCGAGCTCTTCCCTCCCTCCCTCTCCTGCTCTCCTGGAAACCCGACATCGGCTGTCAGAAGCGGAGGTGAAGAAGGAGATGAGGCAAACAGAGTGAGTGCGACGTAGAGAAACCAGACTGGTGTGGAGGTGAGCAAAACAGCTGGAAAGGTGTGGGTGTTGAATCCCCCACGGGTGCGACGCCCATGCGAGCGACCAGTACTGGCTGCTGTCACCTGTTGTGAGCAGCTCTCTGTTGTCTGAGGGTAGGCCCCGCCCACAACGCCGCGGCTGCTGCGGTGTTTTCTTTACTGTGGGAAACGGGTAATAATGGCTCTTTGATGGGAACAGGTTGCCGACCCCTGGATAAGATCTGAGCTGGTAAAACAAAAATCCTCATCAGCAGGCTTTTTTGAAAGTGGGGGGGGGGGGGGGGGGGGGGACACAGCTGCCAATCACAAATTTTGCCGGGGACATGTCCCCGGTTAAAATGACACCTATGCGATTGATCATGCGCCCTGGCTACTTGGTCAAGGGGATGTCCCTTTGGCTGACTGGTTAGCGCACATGACTCTCACCCGGGAGTCTGGGGTTCAAATCCAGCCCTCGTCTCTCCACCTTGCCACATGGAGATACAATAACCCCATCACTTTGCATTCAGGAACCCATGGTCCGGGAGTAGATGGGCGGGACTTAGGCTACTTATTCAGTTTGATTTGATCACCAGATTCTACCCTCAGGATTCTCCTAGACCAGGTGTTTTAAAGACCTGCTTCATCCTCAGGTCACAGGTCAGCCACAGGTCATCCAGAGGTCATCCGCAACCTCCCACAGGTCAACCCCAACCTCCCACAGGTCAACCCTAACCTCCCACAGGTCAACCCCAACCTCCCACAGGTCAGCCAGAGGTAATCCCCAACTTCCCACAGGTCAGCCACAGGTCAACCCTAACCTCCCACAGGTCAACCCCAACCTCCCACAGGTCAACCCCAACCTCCCACAGGTCAACCCCAACCTCCCACAGGTCAGCCCCAACCTCCCACAGGTCAACCCCAACCTCCCACAGGTCAACCCCAACCTCCCACAGGTCAGCCAGAGGTCAACCCCAACCTCCCACAGGTCAGCCCCAACCTCCCACAGGTCAACCCCAACCTCCCACAGGTCAACCCCAACCTCCCACAGGTCAACCCCAACCTCCCACAGGTCAGCCAGAGGTCAACCCCAACCTCCCACAGGTCAACCCCAACCTCCCACAGGTCAGCCAGAGGTCAACCCCAACCTCCCACAGGTCAGCCCCAACCTCCCACAGGTCAGCCAGAGGTAATCCCCAACTTCCCACAGGTCAGCCACAGGTCAACCCTAACCTCCCACAGGTCAACCCCAACCTCCCACAGGTCAACCCCAACCTCCCACAGGTCAACCCCAACCTCCCACAGGTCAACCCCAACCTCCCACAGGTCAGCCAGAGGTCAACCCCAACCTCCCACAGGTCAGCCAGAGTGGGAACTTGGAAAAATGTATTTATCTGCACCCCCCCCCCCCCCCCCCCAGGCTCACCGTTTAAAGTTCTCATGGCACCCACGCCCTTGGTTCAGCAGGTGGGCCGTGGAACCCAATCAGCTGAAGGACGTCTGAACCACCAGGATCACTCACCAGAAAGGTGGGCCGGGTCAGAACCCAGATCTAAAGCAGAACCGTTCAGACCCACACCTGTGGGTCAGAACCAGTTCAACCACTTCTATCCAGTTTGTACTTACTGGTGTAGGAGGATCCTCCGTCACAGGTTCCTGCTGCTGGGAGTGTGTGTGTGTGTGTGTGTGTGTGTGTGTGTGTGTGCAAAGAGGAAATGAAACTCTGGACCCAAGGTCCACATTAATCATTGATGTGATTTTATGACGCGGTTACCATGGAGACTAGTTAGGGAAAGAGTCAGATGACCTTTGGGAAGGGGGTTTTCAGACAGCCAATCAGAGCCGAGTTAGGATCTTTCACTGATAGTAACAGAACCAGAACCAGAACCGAACAAACCCACGAACCAAAGGCCTGCTCCAAACAGTCCAGGAAACAGGAACACCTGGAAGCATCTTCCACCTGGCTAGAGGAAAGGCTGAGCAGCTGTAGAGGTGGGAGACTCCAGAAGACGGCTCCAGGACCCGATGGGAGGGTGAGGCTGAGCTTCACCGTCAGACCCACACGGGATACCTTTGAGCTCCTGCAACCATCAGGCCCGTCTTAGTATGCTGCTCTCCACAAGGCAGGTGCACCTGGTGACACAACCAGGTGCTGAAACACCTGGCAGCTGAACCTGGGATCAGGAGGGCATCCATCACCATCTAACCCCCCATCGGTCCTGCAGCATGGCCAGTAGTGGTGGTGGGCGTGTCCCAGCACAGCACGTCAGGTGCTGGTGATGCGTGTGTGGACATCCGGGACGAGGAGCGCCATCGAGTACTTCACCCGTGAGTGCTGACAACCATCACCTGCTGGTAGATGTCTACAAAGAACCTTGTCCAGAACCCGCTATGGACCAGGTCTGGGCCAGGACCAGAACCGGGCTTAGCTCAGAGACAACCTTCACATTCACAACTGAAAGACTTTATTAAAGAAAGAGTTCTACATGCTACTGCTGCTGGTTCTGGAGGAGAACCCAGGAGTCTGGTTCTGATCCACTGGACCTGATGGTGGTCCTGGAAGTCCACAGCTGTTACAGAAAACAGAACGAGCTTCCTCGTTACCGTGGTGATCAGAGCGTCCACTTCAAACACCTGCGGGGACACAAACCAGACAGAAGATGGAACCAGAGGACACGACGTGTCTTCCTGAGGCAGAGACATCCGTCTCACGCTCCAAACACCCAGATCCAGAACCAGTCCATGCTCCCCGTCCACTTGTCCGACAGAACCACGTCGTTCTTCTCTTTGTTTCTAGGCTCTATAGCTACTGTCGTGATGATCGTATCTCTCCTGTCTTAGCTTCCCTACATTGGCTACCTGTTAAATTCAGAATAGATTTTAAGATCCTTCTTCTCACATATAAAGCTCTTAATAATCAAGCTCCATCATACATCAGTGATCTGATTGTGTCAAACGTTCCTAACCGAGCACTTCGCTCTCAGACTGCAGGTCTACTGGTGGTTCCCAGAATATCTAAAATTAGGATGGGAGGCAGATCTTTTAGTTATCAGGCTCCTCTATTGTAGAACCAGCCTTAGTCCGTGAGGCAGACACTTTGTCTACTTTTAAGAATAGGCTTAAAACATTTTTATTTGATAGGGCCTATGGTTAAAATCTGATGTTAGCCTAGATCTGGACAAGTGGGGGAGTAGAGGGAGGTGGAGTGTACAGTCGGTAAAGACGGCTCTCCCTTGCCCTGACTCCAACATGCCTCCATCTAAATAGGATAGATTATCCAGAGTTATCTCTGTAGTTATGCTGCTATAGGCTTAGACTGCTGGAGGATACACTGACCACTTTCCACACTCTACTGCTTTCTTCTACAATCTGCTCTTTAACTGTATTATTTCCTGCTATTTCAGCTGTTAACTTTATTTTCTCTCTAAGTGTTTTTCTCCCCAGAAGAAGCTACAACGATGTTCTGCTGAGCTGTGGTGGCCTCATGGAGGGGGCCATCGACTAGCACACTGCTGCTAACCACTAATACATTCTCCCTCTCCTGATAATAACTTTAGGTTACTATCGTAACCCCGGTTCTCTGAGTAACATGAGTGAGATGTCTCACTATAGGATACGCCCCTCCGCGGATTCCTCAGAAGCACTTATCTCAATACGCCAATCCTGATTGGCCAGTGACCGTGACGTACGCGTCCCCCTGCTACTATAAGTAGCAAGCGTCCCCACGCACCCACTATTCAAGATAAACACCTCTTTTCGCTTCGCCCAGCAAGAAGGGTTGTCTGGTGAGACATCTCACTCATGTTACTCAGAGAACCGGGGTAATGATAGTAACCTAAAGTTCTCTTTCTTAACATTCGTTTCGATGTCTCACTATGGGATATGGAGACTCCCGTATTGCCAGACAGCTTATCCAGCGATCACCAACCTACAGGGGTACGTCTTGGCCCGCCAAAGACCCCACACTCAGAATCGTGTGAGTCATTGCAGGGACCGAAACATCAAGCTTATAGAAGCGTGAAAATGCAAGTGGAGAAGCCCAACTTGCTGCAGCACAAATCTCCTGGATTGACAGCCCCTGAAAAAGGGCCCAAGAAGCAGACAGGCTCCTAGTAGAATGGGCCCTGAGCCCAACAGGTGCCTGAATGCCATAGAAATAGCCTCCACAATCCAGTGGGAAAGCCGCTGCTTTGTGACGGGTTTCCCCTTACGAGGCCCACCCCATGACACAAAAAGCTGGTCCCCCCTGCGAAGGTTCTCCGTCCGATTCACATACTCCTTGAGCGCGCGAATCGGACACAGCTTGTGCCACCGCTCCTCCTCAGGAGAGGAGAAGGGTGGTGGGTAGAAAGCTGTGAGGATAATAGGAGAAAAGGAGCACACCACCTTAGGCACAAAGGCAGGGTTGGGCTTCAAGGACACCTTCATGTCACCGGGTGCAAACTGGGTGCAGGATGGGTGCACAGAGAGAGCCTGTAAGTCACTAACTCGCTTTGCAGATACCAAAGCCAGGAGTAGCACCACCTTAAGAGACAGGATCTTAAGGTCCAGGCTGTCCATAGGTTCAAATGGAGGCCCGGAGAGGGCCGACAGAACCAAGGACAGATCCCATGAGGGCACCAGGGGTCGAGACACAGGGAGAAGCCTGCGCGTGCCCCTCATGAAGCTACACACCAGGGGGTGTTGACCTGCCAATTTCCTCCCAAAACCCAAGTGTCGGGCGGAAATGGCTGCTAGGTACACTTTAATGGTGGAGAAAGCCTTCTTCCCATCCAACAAGTCTTGCAGGAAAGACAGAATGACGTTCACCGGGCATTGGAAGGGTGAGACCTCCCTGCCCTGACACCAGGCTTCAAACACCCTCCATTTACAGTCATATAGGGACCTAGTGGAGGGGGCCCTAGCATTCTGAATGGTTCGAATGACTGCCTGGGGCAGCTCTGCTGACACTAGCCCACACCCCTCAGGGGCCAGGCCCACAGGGCCAGCCGTTCTGGATGAGGGTGGAAGATTGAGCCTCCCGCTTGGGACACCAGGTCCCTGCGAAGCGGCAGTTTCCAAGGTTGGCCCTCCAGGAGCTGGAAAATGTCCGCCACCCAATGCATGGCTGGCCAGTATGGGGCCACCAGAATGAGAGTGTGGCGCTGGGTTCGTACCCTCAGCAAGGTGGGTGGTATCAGGGCCACTGGGGGAAAAGTGTAAAGCAGTCCCCGTGGCCAGTCGTGCGCCAGCGCGTCCACGCCGAGTGGAGCGTCTCGGTCGCGCAGGGAGAAGAACAGAGGACACTGAGCATTCTCCTTGGAGGCAAAAAGATCCACTACGGCTGTGCCGAACCGGATCCAAATCTGTTCCAACACTGCTGGATGCAGGCTCCAATCCCCGTACAGGGGTGTCCCTCTGGACAACAGATCCGCCCCCCGATTCAGAACACCCGGGACGTGGGTGGCTCTGATTGAGAGGAGATGCCTGCTGCACCATAGGATCAGTCTGCGTGCCAGCGTGTGTAACTGCACGGAGCGCAGCCCCCCCCTGGCGGTTTATATAAGCCACAGTCGTGGTGTTGTCTGTTCTCACTAGGACATGATGGCCGGAGAGAAAAGGCAGGAAGCGCCTCAGGGCCAGAAAGACCGCGAGGAGTTCCAGATAATTTATGTGTGTCCCCCAGAGCTCTCTGCTCCACACATCCCTGACAGAGCGACCCTCCAGGAGCCCCCCCCCCCCCAACCTGACAGGCTCGCATCTGTCGTGACCACTTTCCTCACGAGAACCAACCCCAAAGGCACCCCTTGTGCCAAGAGGGAGGGGTGATGCCAACAGCGGAGCGCTGCGACGCACGCTGCAGAGACCGTCACCCTGCGCGCTCTGTGGCGCACTGGAGAGAGACCCAGAGAAGCCACCCAGCGTTGAAAATCTCTCATGTGTAGACGGCCGAGTGGTACCACTGAAATAGCCGACGCCATGAGACCCAAAAGCATGAGGCATAACGCAAACCGCACCAAACTGTGTAGGCGGAAGCGCGCCAGGCAGAGCGAGAGCGCGTTCACACGCGGTGTCGAGAGACGGGCCGTGAACGCCCCTGAGTCCAGATTCAGACCTAGAAAGGTTATTTTCTGGGAGGGGAGTAAAGCGCTTTTCTGCCAGTTTATTCTGAAACCCAGACCACACAAGTGAGGGATCTCAACCAGCATGTTTGACGCTGCCTCCTCTCTGGACCGTGCCAGCAGGAGCCAGTCGTCTAAATACGTGGCCAGCCGAATGCCCCTCCCTCTCAGAGGGGCGATCACCGCCTCTGTACACCTGACAAACACCCTCGGGCTCAGCGAGAGGCCGAATGGGAGCACGGTGTATTCGTAACACACTCCCTGAAAGGCAAACCTCAGAAATTTCCTGTGTGGAGGGTACACGGGAATATGAAAGTATGCGTCCCTCAGGTCGATTGAGGTGAACCAGTCGTTCTGGTGAATCAGACACAAAAGGGATGAGAGCGTGAGCATTTTGAATCTGTACTTTCTGAGGCATCGGTTCAGGGCCCTCAGATCCAGGATCGGGCGAATCCCGGTCCCTCCCCGTTTCGGGACCAGGAAGTACCTGGAGTAGAAACCGCTCTGAGACCGATCGGGAGGCACAATGCATATCGCTCCCTTCTCCAGCAGGGAGAAGATTTCTCCCTGAAGGATGTGAGCTGACGTCCCCTGGGCGTGGGAGAACACTACGCCGGAGAATCGAGGAGGAACTGAAGCGAATTGGAGCCTGTAACCCCTCGAAATAGTTCTCAGCACCCAACGTGAAGCAGAAACTGCTGTCCATTCCTCCATGAGAGTGGAGAGCGGTGACACAGCCGTGACACACGGAGCAGCAGCTCCCTCCAGAGGTTGTGGGGCAGCGATGCTCGTGGCAACCACTGCGCATGCGTGGGGACTTTGTGCTTTGATGGCCCAGGCGTACGGGGACGACCCGTGGCTGGCGGGTATGTTCGCCAGGGGCCGCCCCCGCCTGGAACTGCTCATGGGTGACATTTTTATTGATTTTTGCTGCGCCCTTGACATTTTGTCTGGATGCGGCAGCGAACTTTTTAATGCTCCTTGAGCGTGACATGTTTGTGAAAAACAATGTGAGTGCTCGTGACGTGTGTTTTGAGCCGGCACAGCCGGCTCCACGTCCTGGCCCCACCCTGGACCGCTCGGGAACTCTGCCGGAGGGGTTCCGTGAGGGGGGGAGAAGGAACCATGGCAACATCGAACAGGAGGAGCTGGCGAACGGGGAACCGCCAGCTGCAGTGTCCGGAGGGAAAGAACTCCGTCAGGCTGCCCTCTTCTTCTTCCTCACCTGCTGACCGCCGGGTCGGGTGGGTTGTCCCGGCGGCAGAGCAGCTTGGTTGCCGGATCTCTGAGAACAAACTGGTAGAGGCGCTGAGCCCGAAGGAGCTGGTTGGACAGCTTGAGGCTTCGGGCGCTTTGGGATCCGGAACTGAGGCTGGGCTCGGACAGCTGCCTGAGGCAGGTTCGGCCGAGCCGGCAGCGCCGGTGAGAGCTTACGGGGAAGGCAGAGATGAAGGGCTTCATCCTCTTTCTTTTTGGCCTCACACCGTTGCTGCATTGATGCCAGGGCAGAGCCAAAAATGCCTTCAGGCACGATTGGCATGTCCAAAATGTCCTCCTTCTCTCTATCAGAGAGGTTGGTGAGGTTCAGCCATCGTGCACGTTCTTGAAGCACCATCATGCCCATAGCTTTAGCCGTAGACTGGACCGCGCAGCGCTGCACACGCAGGCAGATGTCGGTCAGTACGGTGATTTCCCCCCACACCTCCGGGTCCGGCTTCGTATTCATGTCCTCACAGAGCTCGGCTTGGTACGCCGAGAGCATGGAGGAGACATTCAAAGCTCGGGCGGAGATGGCGGCAGCCTTGTACGCCCTCTCGTTCAGCGCCGACTGGAAGCGGTCCGCCTTCGCGGGGAGAGCGGGAGGCCTGGAGGAAGTTGCCGAGAGCCGTGGGTGCAGGTGGGCTGCAACCAGCGGTTCCATTGGCGGCATGCGAAGCATGCCAGCCTTCTCCATCCCCTCGAAGTCCAGCGAGGAGGCTCCTTGGACAGGAGACCTGGAGCTGAACGGGTGTTTGTCCCAGGAGGACCTCACTTCTTGGAGAAGCTCCGGGAAGGCGAGAAGGAGGGGCTTTGCCGCTCTTGTGGCCTGAGGCAGCTTCTTTCCCTCGTAGCGGGATCTGACAGCCTCAGTGACCACGGTGGGCCAAAGGATGTTGAGCCTGGTCGCAGCGCGTCGGCAGACTGACTGCATGTCCAGGTGGGCGGCCGGAGAAGCCGCTCCATCCCTGGGAGAGGACGGAAAGCTAGGCATGGAGGCCTGAGCGATGGGGAGAAAAACGTCGTCATCCTCGTCCTCCTCTGAAATGAGGAGTTCCGAGGTGTCCTCGTCGTCTCCGTAGTCCAACTCCAACACGTCCTCGACGGGGTGGCTCGGACCGGCCGGTTCGAGCTGTGAGCCCCAGCTGAGTTCGGCACACGGTTCCGACTCCGGGAGGACATGTTCGCTGGCGTCCCCAGGCGGTGGCCCAGGGGCCGGCAGGCAAGGGTCCTTTCCCGACAGGCTAGCTTGGCGCGCTAGCCGCCGGCGAAGGCTCTTCAGGGTGAAGCAAGCACAACTCTCACATGACCCGGGGACTTCCAATGCCAGCTGGGCGTGTTCCAGCCCGAGGCAGCTCGAGCAGACCTTGTGCGGGTCTGTGCTCGAGATTTTGTTCCCACAGGTACAGAGGCGAGCTCCTGCGCCGTCGACTCCTCTGGTGGGAGGAGCGGCTTCCATGTAGGCTAACTGGTGTGTTAGCAGAGAACGAACAGGTGCACTAGAGTGTGAAGCTGCTCGTTATGCCCCGAGCCTATGGTGAAGGTCAGGACAGAAGGACGGTAAGTTAACGTTCGGCGACGGAGAGAATATTAGAAGGCTCCGTCTGTGAACAGTTGAGCTAACTTACCTCAGAGATAAGCGACCACCGAAGCGAGAAGAGGTGATTGAATAGTGCGTGCGTGGGGACGCTTGCTACTTATAGTAGCAGGGGGACGCGTACGTCACGGTCACTGGCCAATCAGGATTGGCGTATTGAGATAAGTGCTTCTGAGGAATCCGCGGAGGGGCGTATCCCATAGTGAGACATCAAAACGAATGTTAAGAAAGAGAACTTTTTGCTTTCCTTGACGTTGGATGTGCTAATACTAGTTTACCCGTTCAATTATAGATCCACTAGGATAAATACAATAAATGTTTTTCTCTCACCAAATACAATATTTACTTAGAAATCACAATGTAACTGTAGACACATTACTTGTCCGTGTGTGTGTGTGTGTGTGTGTGTGTGTGTGTGTGTGTGTGTGTGTGTGTGTGTGTGTGTGTGTGTGAGTCGTGGAGGATGGCTGCTTATACTGAGCCAGGATTCTCTGGAGGTTTCTTCCTGTTAAAAGGGAGTTTTCCTCTCCACTGTCGCTGCATGCTTGCTTAGTATGAGGATTGCTGTAAACACTCTGACACTAGTCATTGACTCGATGCGACCTGCTGGGTTCCTTATATAGGACACATGTTACTGATTGGCTTAATGACCTGACCTGTGCTGGAATGTTTACGGTGTGCAGGTCCTTGAGACGACTCTGGTCCTGACTTGCCGTTTTATAAATAGACTTCAATTGAACTGAATCTGTAGTTTGGGGGTTCTGGTCTGGTCGGGTTCAGGTACCTGGTCTCTCTGTGTGTGATCAGGCACTTGCTGCTGCAGTAGCGCCCTCCACAGGTGGTACAGGTGTAGTGGGAGGGAAAACCACACACGCAGCAGAAGTGGCGGGGGGGCAGCGAGGAGGGCGGGGCCACAGCAGACAGATAGTTGGGTTCTGGGCTCTCTGAAAGATTCTACCAATAAGAAAGGAGAAGTAAAATCAGCTGACCTGATCAGAGACACACAGGTGCGGGTCTCAGCTGACCAGAAACACAGGTGTGGATCTCACCTCCTCCTCCAGCAGAGTGGTGAAGTTCTTCCTGAAACGCTGCTTGAAGTGGTCCCCTCTGGTCTTCCTCTTCTTCCTCTCTGGATGCAGACAGAACCAATCAGAGGACACAAGGACCAGCGGACGGCCCCTTTTCCCATCAAAGAGCCGTTAAGACCCGTTTCCCACGGTAAAGAAAACACTGGCAGCCGCGGCGTTGTGGGCGGGGCCTACCCTAGGGCAGCCGAGAGCTGGTTTAGTCCATCACAAGTGACAGGAACCAATAGCGGTGTTGTGGGCGGGGCCTACCCTAAGGCAGCCGAGAGCTGGTTTACTCCATCACAAGTGTCAGGAACCAATAGCGGTATTGTGGGCGGGGCCTACCTTAAGGCAGCCGAGAGCTGGTTTACTCCATCACAAGTGACAGGAACCAATAGCGGCGTTGTGGGCGGGGCCTACCTTAAGGCAGCTGAGAGCTGGTTTACTCCATCACAAGTGACAGGAACCAATAGCGGCGTTGTGGGCGGGGCCTACCCTAAGGCAGCCGAGAGCTGGTGTACTCCATCACAAGAGACAGGAACCAATAGCGGTATTGTGGGCGGGGCCTACCCATGGCAGCCGAGAGCTGGTTTACTCCATCACAAGTGACAGGAACCAATAGCGGTATTGTGGGCGGGGCCTACCCATGGCAGCCGAGAGCTGGTTTACTCCATCACAAGTGACAGGAACCAATAGCGGTCGAACTGATCCAGACGTCGTAGCTCAGCTGTTATTGATCCCCGTTGGTGGTTTTAATGAGAGGGTTAGTGTTTTAATGAGAGGGTTAGTGTTTTAATGAGAGGGTTAGTGTTTTTAATGAGAGGGTTAGGGTTTTAATGAGAGGGTTAGTGTTTTAATGAAAGGGTTAGGGTTTTAATAAGAGGATTAGCGGTTTTAATGAGAGGGTTAGTGGTTTTAATGAGAGGGTTAGCGGTTTTAATGAGAGGGTTGGCAGTTCTAATGAGAGGGTTAGTGTTTTAATGAGAGGGTTAGCGGTTTTAATGAGAGGGTTGGCAGTTCTAATGAGAGGGTTGGCAGTTCTAATGAGAGGGTTAGTGGTTTTACTGAGAGGGTTAGCGGTTTTAATGAGAGGGTTAGTGTTTTAATGAGAGGGTTAGGGTTTTAATGAGAGGGTTAGGGTTTTAATGAGAGGATTAGCAGTTTTAATGAGAGGGTTAGTGGTTTTAATGAGAGGGTTGGCAGTTCTAATGAGAGGGTTAGGGTTTTAATGAGAGGATTAGCGGTTTTAATGAGAGGGTTAGCGGTTTTAATGAGAGGGTTAGTGTTTTAATGAGAGGGTTAGCGGTTTTAATGAGAGGGTTAGTGTTTTAATGAGAGGGTTAGCGGTTTTAATGAGAGGGTTGGCAGTTCTAATGAGAGGGTTAGTGTTTTAATGAGAGGGTTAGCGGTTTTAATGAGAGGGTTAGTGTTTTAATGAGAGGGTTAGCGGTATTAATGAGAGGGTTGGCAGTTCTAATGAGAGGGTTAGCGGTTTTAATGAGAGGGTTAGCGGTTTTAATGAGAGGGTTAGGGTTTTAATGAGAGGGTTAGTGGTTTTAATGAGAGGGTTAGGGTTTTAATGAGAGAGTTAGTGGTTTTAATGAGAGGGTTAGGGTTTTAATGAGAGAGTTAGTGTTTTAATGAGATGGTTGTGGTTTTAATGAGAGGGTTAGGGTTTTAATGAGAGGGTTAGGGTTTTAATGGGAGAGTTAGTGGTTTAAATGAGAGGGTTAGTGGTTTTAATGAGAGGGTTAGTGTTTTAATGAGAGGGTTAGGGTTTTAATGAGAGGGTTAGCGGTTTTAATGAGAGGGTTAGGGGTTTTAATGAGAGGGTTAGCGGTTTAAATGAGAGGGTTAGCGGTTTAAATGAGAGGGTTAGCGGTTTAAATGAGAGGGTTAGCGGTTTTAATGAGAGGGTTAGCGGTTTAAATGAGAGGGTTAGTGTTTTAATGAGAGGGTTAGTGTTTTAATGAGAGGGTTAGTGTTTTAATGAGAGGGTTAGGGTTTTAATGAGAGGGTTAGGGTTTTAATGAGAGGGTTAGTGGTTTTAATGAGAGGGCTAGCGGTTTTAATGAGAGGGTTAGTGTTTTAATGAGAGGGTTAGTGTTTTAATGAGAGGGTTAGGGTTTTAATGAGAGGGTTAGTGTTTTAATGAGAAGGTTAGGGTTTTAATGAGAGGGTTAGTGTTTTAATGAGAGGGTTAGCGGTTTTAATGAGATGGCTAGCAGTTTTAATGAGAGGGTTAGCGGTTTTAATGAGATGGCTAGCAGTTTTAATGAGAGGGTTAGTGTTTTAATGAGAGGGTTAGTGTTTTAATGAGAGGGTTAGGGTTTTAATGAGAGGGTTAGTGGTTTTAATGAGAGGGCTAGCGGTTTTAATGAGAGGGTTAGTGTTTTAATGAGAGGGTTAGTGTTTTAATGAGAGGGTTAGTGTTTTAATGAGAGGGTTAGGGTTTTAATGAGACGGATAGTGTTTTAATGAGAGGGTTAGTGTTTTAATGAGAGGGTTAGTGGTTTTAATGAGAGGGCTAGCGGTTTTAATGAGAGGGTTAGTGTTTTAATGAGAGGGTTAGTGGTTTTAATGAGAGGGTTAGTGGTTTTAATGAGAGGGTTAGTGTTTTAATGAGAGGGCTAGCGGTTTTAATGAGAGGGTTAGTGTTTTAATGAGAGGGCTAGCGGTTTTAATGAGAGGGTTAGTGGTTTTAATGAGAGGGTTAGTGTTTTAATGAGAGGGTTAGTGTTTTTAATGAGAGGGTTAGGGTTTTAATGAGAGGGTTAGTGTTTTAATGAGAGGGTTAGGGTTTTAATAAGAGGATTAGCGGTTTTAATGAGAGGGTTAGTGGTTTTAATGAGAGGGTTAGCGGTTTTAATGAGAGGGTTAGCGGTTTTAATGAGAGGGTTAGGGCTTTAATGAGAGGGTTAGGGTTTTAATGAGAGGATTAGCAGTTTTAATGAGAGGATTAGCAGTTTTAATGAGAGGGTTAGTGGTTTTAATGAGAGGGTTGGCGGTTCTAATGAGAGGGTTAGGGTTTTAATGAGAGGAATAGCGGTTTTAATGAGAGGGTTAGCGGTTTTAATGAGAGGGTTAGTGTTTTAATGAGAGGGTTAGCGGTTTTAATGAGAGGGTTAGTGTTTTAATGAGAGGGTTAGCGGTTTTAATGAGAGGGTTGGCAGTTCTAATGAGAGGGTTAGTGTTTTAATGAGAGGGTTAGCGGTTTTAATGAGAGGGTTAGCGGTATTAATGAGAGGGTTGGCAGTATTAATGAGAGGGTTAGCGGTTTGAATGAGAGGGTTAGCGGTTTTAATGAGAGGGTTAGTGGTTTTAATGAGAGGGTTAGGGTTTTAATGAAAGGGTTAGGGTTTTAATGAGAGGGTTAGTGGTTTTAATGAGAGGGTTAGGGTTTTAATGAGAGAGTTAGTGGTTTTAATGAGAGGGTTAGGGTTTTAATGAGAGAGTTAGTGGTTTTAATGAGATGGTTGTGGTTTTAATGAGAGGGTTAGGGTTTTAATGAGAGGGTTAGGGTTTTAATGAGAGAGTTAGTGGTTTTAATGAGAGGGTTAGTGGTTTTAATGAGAGGGTTAGGGTTTTAATGAGAGGGTTAGCGGTTTTAATGAGAGGGTTAGCGGTTTTAATGAGAGGGTTAGCGGTTTAAATGAGAGGGTTAGCGGTTTAAATGAGAGGGTTAGCGGTTTAAATGAGATGGTTAGCGGTTTTAATGAGAGGGTTAGCGGTTTTAATGAGAGGGTTAGTGTTTTAATGAGAGGGTTAGGGTTTTAATGAGAGGGTTAGGGTTTTAATGAGAGGGTTAGGGTTTTAATGAGAGGGTTAGGGTTTTAATGAGAGGGTTAGTGGTTTTAATGAGAGGGCTAGAGGTTTTAATGAGAGGGTTAGTGTTTTAATGAGAGGGTTAGTGTTTTAATGAGAGGGTTAGTGTTTTAATGAGAGGGTTAGGGTTTTAATGAGAGGGTTAGTGTTTTAATGAGAAGGTTAGGGTTTTAATGAGAGGGTTAGTGGTTTTAATGAGAGGGCTAGCGGTTTTAATGAGAGGGTTAGTGTTTTAATGAGAGGGTTAGCGGTTTTAATGAGATGGCTAGCAGTTTTAATGAGAGGGTTAGTGTTTTAATGAGAGGGTTAGGGTTTTAATGAGAGGGTTAGCGGTTTTAATGAGAGGGCTAGCGGTTTTAATGAGAGGGTTAGTGTTTTAATGAGAGGGTTAGTGTTTTAATGAGAGGGTTAGTGTTTTAATGAGAGGGTTAGTGGTTTTAATGAGAGGGCTAGCGGTTTTAATGAGAGGGTTAGTGGTTTTAATGAGAGGGTTAGTGGTTTTAATGAGAGGGTTAGTGGTTTTAATGAGAGGGTTAGTGGTTTTAATGAGAGGGTTAGTGTTTTAATGAGAGGGCTAGCGGTTTTAATGAGAGGGTTAGTGTTTTAATGAGAGGGCTAGCGGTTTTAATGAGAGGGTTAGCGGTTTTAATGAGAGGGTTAGAGGTTTTAATGAGAGGGTTAGTGTTTTAATGAGAGGGTTAGTGTTTTAATGAGAGGGTTAGGGTTTTAATGAGAGGGTTAGTGTTTTAATGAGAGGGTTAGTGTTTTAATGAGAGGGTTAGCGGTTTTAATGAGAGGGTTAGTGTTTTAATGAGAGGGTTAGTGGTTTTAATGAGAGGGTTAGTGGTTTTAATGAGAGGGTTAGTGTTTTAATGAGAGGGTTAGTGTTTTAATGAGAGGGCTAGCGGTTTTAATGAGAGGGCTAGCGGTTTTAATGAGAGGGTTAGTGTTTTAATGAGAGGGCTAGCGGTTTTAATGAGAGGGCTAGCGGTTTTAATGAGAGGGTTAGGGTTTTAATGAGAGGGTTAGGGTTTTAATGAGAGGGTTAGTGTTTTAATGAGAGGGTTAGTGTTTTAATGAGAGGGTTAGGGTTTTAATGAGAGGGTTAGTGGTTTTAATGAGAGGGCTAGCGGTTTTAATGAGAGGGTTAGTGTTTTAATGAGAGGGCTAGCGGTTTTAATGAGAGGGTTAGTGTTTTAATGAGAGGGTTAGTGTTTTAATGAGAGGGTTAGCGGTTTTAATGAGAGGGTTAGCGGTTTTAATGAGAGGGTTAGCGGTTTTAATTAGAGGGTTAGTGTTTTAATGAGAGGGTTAGTGTTTTAATGAGGGTTAGTGTTTTAATGAGAGGGTTAGTGTTTTAATGAGAGGGTTAGCGGTTTTAATTAGAGGGTTAGTGTTTTAATGAGAGGGTTAGTGTTTTAATGAGGGTTAGTGTTTTAATGAGAGGGTTAGTGTTTTAATGAGAGGGTTAGTGTTTTAATGAGAGGGTTGGGGTTTTAATGAGGGTTAGTGGTTTTAATGAGAGGGTTAGTGTTTTAATGAGAGGGTTAGTGTTTTAATGAGAGGGTTAGTGTTTTAATGAGAGGGTTAGTGGTTTTAATGAGAGGGTTGGGGTTTTAATGAGGGTTAGTGGTTTTAATGAGAGGGTTAGCGGTTTTAATGAGAGGGTTAGCGGTTTTAATTAGAGGGTTAGTGTTTTAATGAGAGGGTTAGTGTTTTAATGAGGGTTAGTGTTTTAATGAGGGTTAGTGTTTTAATGAGAGGGTTAGTGTTTTAATGAGAGGGTTAGTGTTTTAATGAGAGGGTTGGGGTTTTAATGAGGGTTAGTGGTTTTAATGAGAGGGTTAGTGGTTTTAATGAGAGGGTTAGTGTTTTAATGAGAGGGTTGGGGTTTTAATGAGGGTTAGTGGTTTTAATGAGAGGGTTAGTGGTTTTAATGAGAGGGTTAGTGGTTTTAATGAGAGGGTTAGCGGTTTTAATGAGAGGGTTAGTGGTTTAATGAGAGGGTTAGTGTTTTAATGAGGGTTAGTGTTTTAATGAGAGGGTTAGTGTTTTAATGAGAGGGTTAGCGGTTTTAATTAGAGGGTTAGTGTTTTAATGAGAGGGTTAGTGTTTTAATGAGGGTTAGTGTTTTAATGAGAGGGTTAGTGTTTTAATGAGAGGGTTAGTGTTTTAATGAGAGGGTTAGTGGTTTTAATGAGAGGGTTAGTGTTTTAATGAGAGGGTTGGGGTTTTAATGAGGGTTAGTGGTTTTAATGAGAGGGTTAGTGGTTTTAATGAGAGGGTTAGTGGTTTTAATGAGAGGGTTAGGGTTTTAATGAGAGGGTTAGTGTTTTAATGAGGGTTAGTGTTTTAATGAGAGGGTTAGTGTTTTAATGAGAGGGTTAGTGGTTTTAATGAGAGGGTTAGTGTTTTAATGAGAGGGTTAGGGTTTTAATGAGAGGGTTAGGGTTTTAATGAGAGGGTTAGTGTTTTAATGAGAGGGTTAGGGTTTTAATGAGAGGGTTAGGGTTTTAATGAGAGGGTTAGGGTTTTAATGAGAGGGTTAGTGTTTTAATGAGAGGGTTAGTGGTTTTAATGAGAGGGTTAGGGTTTTAATGAGAGGGTTAGGGTTTTAATGAGAGGGTTAGTGTTTTAATGAGAGGGTTAGTGTTTTAATGAGAGGGTTAGTGGTTTTAATGAGAGGGTTAGTGTTTTAATGAGAGGGTTAGTGTTTTAATGAGAGGGTTAGTGTTTTAATGAGAGGGTTAGGGTTTTAATGAGAGGGTTAGGGTTTTAATGAGAGGGTTAGTGTTTTAATGAGAGGGTTAGTGTTTTAATGAGAGGGTTAGTGGTTTTAATGAGAGGGTTAGGGTTTTAATGAGAGGGTTAGGGTTTTAATGAGAGGGTTAGAGTTTTAATGAGAGGGTTAGTGTTTTAATGAGAGGGTTAGTGGTTTTAATGAGAGGGTTAGTGTTTTAATGAGGGTTAGTGTTTTAATGAGAGGGTTAGGGTTTTAATGAGAGGGTTAGGGTTTTAATGAGAGGGTTAGTGGTTTTAATGAGAGGGTTAGTGTTTTAATGAGAGGGTTAGGGTTTTAATGAGAGGGTTAGGGTTTTAATGAGAGGGTTAGGGTTTTAATGAGAGGGTTAGTGTTTTAATGAGAGGGTTAGTGTTTTAATGAGAGGGTTAGTGGTTTTAATGAGAGGGTTAGTGTTTTAATGAGGGTTAGTGTTTTAATGAGAGGGTTAGTGTTTTAATGAGAGGGTTAGGGTTTTAATGAGAGGGTTAGGGTTTTAATGAGAGGGTTAGTGGTTTTAATGAGAGGGTTAGTGTTTTAATGAGGGTTAGTGTTTTAATGAGAGGGTTAGTGGTTTTAATGAGAGGGTTAGTGTTTTAATGAGGGTTAGTGTTTTAATGAGAGGGTTAGTGTTTTAATGAGAGGGTTAGGGTTTTAATGAGAGGGTTAGTGTTTTAATGAGAGGGTTAGTGTTTTAATGAGAGGGTTAGTGGTTTTAATGAGAGGGTTAGTGTTTTAATGAGGGTTAGTGTTTTAATGAGAGGGTTAGTGTTTTAATGAGAGGGTTAGGGTTTTAATGAGAGGGTTAGTGGTTTTAATGAGAGGCTCGTGTTCTTCACCAGAAGGCAGAACAGATAAATAACGGTATACGGAGAGTTCTGACGGAGAATCCTCGAGGCTGCAGATGTGTTGATGTTTTTATCGTTAGGCACATCGCCGAGGTAGCTACATGAACCAGGAGAAGGTTCCCATCAGAACATCTGAGCTGGACACTGAGCTCAGCGCAGCTCGCTGTTGGCGCGTACGTCAGGTGCACAGCGAGCTGAAGATGTGGAGATCGGGGGCTTGGAGCGCGTGGCAGAACCAGAACCATGCAGGAAGGTTCCTCCCACTGAAGCGAGTGTTTCCTAACCCGGTCTCTCACAGAGACGCGTCGCGTAGAAAATGTTCCTGACGATGAAACTTTGGCGGAATAGCGCTTGTTCCTGTCTCTAATGGCGACGCATCCATGAGCCGTCTGAGGAGAAGTCCAGAAGCTCACATCCTCTTCAGCTCAGGAAGCTCCTGTAGGGACATCCGACTACACACATGCAGGTGACCTGCCAGGACCTGGACCCGTTTAGGGCTTCTCATTTAGAATGGGCTCCCAGATAAAAGCGAACGCAGTAAAATAAAATACATTAGAATTAAAATTCATTCATTCATTCATTCACAAGCAGCATGCCGCTTCAGATGAATGGATGAGCGCAGCTTGCTGGCCCCTCACCTGGCTCTTCTGTCTCACTGAAGGCAGGAAGACGGGCAGTCGGACCTGGGGGGGGCAGTGAGGACAGTGGGTCGTCCTGGAGACCAGAAGAACCAGAGAAACAGCTGATCAGTGACCAGAACCCACCAGGTCCAGGTCCAGGTCCGTTATGATGCGTTCTAACCTGGAAGTTGTCCTTCTCCAGGGCCTCCAGCTGCCGGGTCAGCCTCCGCTGCCGGGTCGCCTCATCCAGAACTCTACGCTGACCGGCCTCCACCCGGGCTGGACCGGAACCAGAACCAGGGTCATTCAGTAATCAGGTCCAGAGCAGAACAGAGATTAGCAAAACTAATGACCACCAGACTGAACTAAACCAGCTGGTTCTGCTGGGTCTTTACCAGCCGAACGTTAACCTGACGTATACCAACCCCTGACCCGTAACCCTGGGTTAACTAACTACCCACACTAGTCGGGAGCCTACAGCTGAACTAAACCAGCTGGTTTGCTGAGCGGACCCTGGCGCGGCGGCCGCGTCTCTGTATCCGGTTACAGGTCAGAAACGCGGCTTACCGGCGGTGAAACCGGGACGAACTTACCGGAGCTCTTCTTGTCCAGAACCATGATGTTC